TGTGGCTCAAGTGGTAGAGCGCTAGCCTTGAGCTGAAGAGCTGAGGGACAGCGGCCAGGCCCAGAGTTCAGGCCCCACAACTGGACCAAAAAAAACAAACAAACAAACAAAAAAATATATGGTGAGGGCTGGGAAGGTGGCTCAGTGGTAGAGTGCTTGCCTTGAATGCATGAGGCCCTGTGTTTATTCCTCAGCACCACAGAAGCAGAAAAAGAAGGAAGTGGCACTGTGGCTCAAGTGATAGAGCTCTAGCCTTAAGTTGAAGAGCTGAGGGACAGCACCCAGGCCCAGAGTTCAGGCCTGAACTGAACTGAAAGTGAAGAAAGAAATGACATTGCCTAAGATGCACTGTACTCATACCCTGACTTAATGAAGTGTGACTCCTTTGTACAGTTTCTTAAAAATAATCATTAAAAAGGTATGATTACATACATTACTAAAACGTATGCTGTAGTACAATTCAACCATCATGTCTTAATTTCCTGCATGGGAAGCAGCAAATGTTCTCCTTTTTCTATTTCTCCCTTCTTTAACTTTATTATACTAAAATAAATCCTTACTAAAAAAACAAACAAACAACCAGCAGCAAAGGATACGTATTCCATTCATTCCTGAAATCTTGAAGTCATCAATGAGCTGGACCACCATATCTTTGTTTGGATCACTAGGATCACTTTCTCGAACCTATGCAAAACAAAAACAAAAGCAAAGGAAATTAAGGGAGATTCTTTGCAATTACACCAACCCATAAAATACTTTTCATATAAACTTATAAAATGAACTTGTAAATATGAACTTGTGAAAAATAAATTCTAATTTAATTTACATCATCAAAAGAACCTTTTAGCTGATAGCGCCCAGGCCCAAAGTTCAAGCCACACAACCCACAAAAAATAAAAAAGCCTTTCGTGAAATTAGTAATTTACTTTTTTTTCACATTATATATATTTTTACAATACTTACACATTTGAGCAATTTTATTTCATCCAAGGCTGTCTCTGTATAATGTTGGGCACTTTTTACAACCTTCATTGCAACAAATCTTTTCCCCCTTTAAAAAAAAATGTAGAATTATGTTATCAGCAGAAGAAGTAACTGTTATGATAGCATCTAGCCAGTAAGTAAGAACTTTAAGTTTTTCCTTAAAATATTATTTACACATTTGGGGGCCCCCAATTAAATAATAGTTGCATGGATTAACCTTTTCCATTCTATATTTATTTTTCATATTAATGTAGACTAGAAAAATGTCAGTTACCACATACAGTAAGGTAAAGTGCTCTTTACAACATATTTTTAGTTTATATGCACATAAACAATGTACAAGTATATCTGGGCTGAGCAGCAGTGAAGCTTAATATTAAATACCATGGCCTTAAAATACCACAAAATGTCACGAAAAAAGGAAGAGCTAGGTATTTTTAATTTCTATTTCTCTGTTTTTCTGGGACTAGAAAATTAATATGACCCTAATGAAAAGTAATTTCAAAAGCAAGTAAGATTCAGGAAAAAAAATTCAGAAGTTAGTAATTTTTTTTAAAAGAATGTAAGAAATTAGTGGAGACAAATCTTAGGGCAACCTTTCTATTATAGGCAGAATTTCACATGCCACAACGAAGTAAGAATAACCCTCAGCCATAACGTCCTAGAAAATAGATGTTGAACCAGACCAGAAATGTGTACAAACAACAAAGAAACACTTACTGCATATCCCAGCACAGCCAGACAGTAGAGAAGTGCCCCCATCCTAGCTTTCTAATGACATGATAGCGACCATTGAAGAGGTCTCCAATTTTCACTGGATGATAGCCACCTTAAAAAAAAAGATCAAAATCAAAGTCATTTCTTCTCTTCCTTTGCAAGTTGTTCCCTTCTTTTTTTCTTTCATTCTTTCTTCCTTTCTCTCTTCCTTCTTTCCTCTTTTTTTCGTGTCCTTTTTACATTACTCAGGGCCTTATACTTTCTAGGCCTATTCTTTGCTGCTGAGCTATAGCTCCAATCCTTTCCTAAGGACGTTGTTTTTGAGATAGGTCTCACTTCCTTTAGAGAAGTACACCTGGGCTGTGATCCCACTATTGAGTTGGAGCTAGGAAAACAGTTGTACACTACTGTACCCAGCCTTCAAGGTGAGAAAGGGCTCTTACAATATTTTCCCCCCTGCCTGTGGCAAACTATCATACATATCATTCTCAGCCTCCAAAGTAGCTAGGATTACAGGTCACTAGCATCTGATAGTCTTTTCTGATATTTCTTGATGTCATTAAACAACACTTTAAATAACAGTATCAGATTACAATGTTTAAAAATAACATTTTTCATGACATTTCAGTGAAAGAAAAATACCCTGTGAATTCCTGTGTTTTTGTTTAACTTTAAAAAGTTCAAAAAACCACCGGGTGCTGGTGGCTCACGCCTGTAATCCTAGCTACTCAGGAGGCTGAGATCTGAGGATCGCAGTTCAAAGCCAGCCCGGGCAGGAGAGACCGTGAGACTCCTATCTCCAATAAAACCACCAGAAAACCGGAAGTGGCACTGTAGCTCAAGTGGTAGAGCGCTCGCCTTGAGCTGAAGAGCTGAGGGACAGCGCCCAAGCCCAGAGTTCAAGCCCCACGACCGACCAAAAAAAAAAAAAAAAAAGTTCAAAAAACCATGCATGTATAATAATTTGAAGTCTTTTTGTAAATTGATATTGTTGGAGTTGTTTTTGGGAGACAGGGCCTCACTATGTGATCCTCTTCTCCAGTCTCACAAGGGCTGAGATTATGAACATGTGTCACAATAATGACTTAATTTGATGTTTTGTTTTTAAACTAAGATATGTACATATACACTACAACTTTTAATATTTACAAACTGTATTTTCCCAAGTAATAATAAAATGCATCTTTGTGCTCTGTACAAGTAAACTAACCAAGTGAAAGGTTAAAAATACACAGTGCTTACATATCAAGTTTTAATGTTTACACTATATAATTAACTTTTCATACACTAGCAGTTTATGTACAGTCAATAGGGAATTGTATAATATTTAGTCTCCAACATGGCCTACATCACTCTTTCACCAATCAGAAACTCCTTCATTCTTTGGAAATGAAGAAATCAATGGGAAAGTGACTATAGGAATATCCTGTAAAGAAAGAGCAAAATGACAACTCATGGACATTTGGTGTGAAAAGGCCTTCATTTTGCCTTTTTTCTTTGGTGGTGGGGGGGGGGGTCAGTCATGGGGCTTGAACCCAGACTTGTGCACTGCCCCTGAGCTAAACTTAAGGCTAGCGCTCTACCACGTTGAGCCACAGTTCTACTTTGGGTTTTCTGATAGTGAATTGGAGATAACATCTCAGAGACTTTGACTTTGAACGGTAATACTCAGATCTTGCCCTCCTGAGTAGCTAGGATTACAGACGTGCCACCAGTGTCAGACTTCACTTCACATTTTTAATAAAATAAATAAGCTACGAAAGTCATTTGATATCATTCTTTTGAAACATACAAGAAATGGTATAGGAGGATGAGATATTAGCAATGGTACCCCAGATGTCTCTGAGCTCTTCAGCTCAAGGTGAATGCTCTACCACTTGAGCCACAGAGCCACTTCCAGTTTTCTGGTGGTTAATTGGAGATAAGAGTCTCATGGACTTTCTACTGATCTTGCTAGCTAACAACCACTTTGGAAAGCAGTATGGAGGTTCCTCAAAAGACTCCACATAGAGCTCCCCTATGACCCAGCAATCCCACTTTTGGGCATTTACCCAAACGATCACAAACAAGACCATACTAAAGCTACCAGCACATCTATGTTTATTACAGCATTATTTACCATAGCTAAGATATGGAACCAACCAAGATGCCCCTCAGTAAATGAATGGATCAAGAAAATGTGGTATATATACACAGTAGTATGCCTCCATCAGAAAGAATGACATTGCCCCATTTGTTAGGAAATAGAAAAAAATTATATTAAGTGAAGTAAGCCAGGCCTAAAGAAACATAGGTCCCATGGTTTCCATTATTTGCAATAACTAGTATACATCTGAAAAGCAGAAAAGGTCAGATAAGATGATGTTAAGCAAAATGAACCAAGATAAGGACACAAGTGGCTTTTTTTTCTTTCTTGCTATTGTTTCTAACATATTTATAAGGTACCACATGTTTTTTTTGTTGTTGTTGTTGCTTGGTATGTCCCTACCCCACGGTATAACCCCTATTTTCACTGTATTTGATGTTGGTATAATTTGAGGAGTAGAAGGGAAAAAACAAATTGTTTAAATAGGGATACAGGCTGACTCATTGCAACAATGAGAAGTACAAAATGCTACATGGAAAAACAATTTGGGCGGAGGGAGGGAAGGGGGGGACGAGTGTGAAGACGGGAAGGGTTGGTAGGGGAGGCAACAATGCTTGATAAGAAATGTACTCCTTGCTCATGTAATTGTAACCCCCCTGGACAGTATTTTCACAATAATATTAAAAAAAAAAAAAAGAATCTCATGGACTTTCCTGCCTGGGCTGACTTTGAATTGTGATCCTCAGATCTCAGTCTCCTGAGTAGCTAGGATTACAGCTGTGAAACCACTGGCATCCAGCATCCATGAGACTCTTATTTCCAGTAAACTAGTCAGAAAAACTGTGGTGAAATAGTTCAAGTGGCAAAGCACAAATCTTAAACAAAAAGCTCAGGACAGAGCTCAGACCCTGAGTTCAATCCCAAGACCAGCATAGAAGCAAGCATGCGTGCGCATGCATATGCATATGCATACGCATACACACACACACACACACACCTTAGGTTGGACTATAAAGAGAACAGAATGGACAGGTAAGCAATTGTTCATTTCACTGCATAGTTTCTCCTATTTCTATCCTTCCAGTACACCAAAGAAAACTACAACTTAAGCTCTACTACTGGTAGCAAGACTCCAAATAAGACTAATCAAGTTTTCCTTCTTTGGCCAAAAAATAAATATGACTCTCTCTTCCTTGCCTAGCAAAAGATACTGTTGTAAGAGTAAAGCAAAAGTTTAGAACTTGGACTGGGACATGGTTTAAGTGGTACAGTAGTTACTTAGTTTGAGGACTAGGATTCAAACACTAGAACTAATAGGGTATGGGGGCAGATCTCCATTGTAGACAATTGTTTGGAAGGATTTTTCAGCCAATTCTCTTTATTTACTGCTAAAATATAGTAAATACTCCTTATGCTGACATTAATCTCTCATACTCTGAGAGTAGGGTTTCTTTACATAAACACTGAAAGCTATCAAAGAATTAAGGAAAGATTTGAGACTCATCCATAACATACTAGTTAGAAAAGAAAGGGGTGGTAAAAATAAATTTGCTACAGTAAAGTAACAGATACATTGTATCTTAGTGAAGATTATGATATTCCTTATCACCCAAATTAACAGAACTAATCCATAAAATCCAGGATGGATATGAGGATTTGAGCACAATATCAACCAATTTAACCTAACTGACATTTTCAGAACACTGAATTCAATAATACTCTTTTAAGTGCACACAGATGATTCACCAAAAATAACGACATGTAAATATACACAAAAAACAAATTTCAACAGAAAAAGACAAGTCATACAAACAATGTTCTTAGATAACATAGAATTAAATTAGAAACCATTAATAGTTTTAGCCAAATTTTAGCCAGGTACTGTGATCTACACCTCTTAGCTATGCATGGAAGCATAATTAGGAGCAAGGCAGTCTGAGGCTGACTCCTATCTGAAGAATACTAAAGCAAAAAAAAAAAAGCTGGGGCCATGGCTCAAGTAGTAAACTTCCAGCCTAGCAAGCACAAAACAAACCAAAACAGATCCAAATTTTGAAACAAGGTCATATCTTTCAGAATAAAAAATAACAAGAAATAGAGAATATTTTTCACCAGATGAAAATGAAAATTTGTCCTACCAATCTGTGAAATGCTTTTAAAGCAGTACTTACAGGAAAATTTTGAATACCTGTATGAGAAAAGATCTCAAATCAGTTTCCAACTAAAGAAACTAGAAAAAGAAAAGCAAATGTAACCTAAAGAGCACTAATGAAAGAAACAACAATGACATTAACTGGAATCACTGAAAAATAAAAAAATGATAAAAACAACAAAAAAAATGGTAAATTCAAACGGTGATTTTTTTTTTTTTGTGGTCAGTCGTAGGACTTGAACTCTGGGCTTGGGCGCTGTCCCTGTGGCTCTTCAACTCAAGGTGAGCATTCTACCGCTTGAGCCACAGTGCCACTTTCGGTTTTCTAGTGGTTTATTGGAAATAAGAGTCTCATAGACTTGAGCCACAGTGCCACTTTCGGTTTTCTAGTGGTTTATTGGAAATAAGAGTCTCATAGACTTTCCTGACCGGGCTGGCTTTGAACCATGATCCTTAGCCTCCTGAGTAGCTAGGATTACAGGTGTGAGCCACCAGCGCCCAGCCAAACAGTGATTTTTTTTGAGAAAATAAAAAATAATACATTTCTGATCAGGCTAATCAGGACAAAAAAAAAAAAAGAAGGAAACACAAATTACCAACATAAAAACTGATGAGAGTTCATATCACTACATATTTTACTTATATATGGATGAATACTTTCAAAAAGCCCCCAAAACTAAAATACACACCTGTATAATTATGTATCCATTTATTGTTTGTTTGTTTTTGGATCCAGTCGTGGGGCCTGAACTCTGGGCCTGGGCACTGTCCCTCAGCTCTTCAGCTCAAGACTAGTGCTCTACCACTTGAGCCACAGTGCCACTTCAGGTTTTTTTCTTATGTGGTGCTGAGGAATCGAACCCAGGGCCTCGAG